ATGTTATGTTTTATGGGATAAGCCGGTGAACGAGCTGACGGATCACCTAATGGTGGCAGAATCGGCGTCGCCCATGGACACCTGTAACACCAGAGGAGTTACAGATGCATTGCCGGCCTTTTAAAAAGGAATAGATCTTTTCTTAAAGGTCGTATCGGTTCGGAAATACCGCCGACGACAGATCATGCCACAGATTTGCAAAAAAAAATTAACTTGGCTACATCTATGAATATCTTTGAGTGCAGTCATGACCTATTTATTGGAAGGCTATAAGTATTTGTAATTAAATTAGAAGAGGAAGCAATAAAGGGGTTTCCTTCAATTACTTCACCTAGACTCGTAATTATAGGCGTTGGATACGATATGCTCTATTAGCTACAGATATACATACACTGTTTATATCAAAAGTTTCGTGAGACATACTAGAATAATTATTGTGTTTTCGACTTACTCCCGTAACTGTTCGACGAGGTACTCGACTAGTTTCAAGCCATGCTAGAGGCTCATATTCATAACATAACAACACGCCTTTTATCCCCGAAGGGGTAGGGAGAGGTGCACACAGAAGTAACACCCACTTTTTATGTTAGGTATGAGTCCCATGTAATAGGATGTGAGTCTATTGCCATATACCGGGCACAATTCCAGTCTCCGTGCTACGACTGAGATTTTAAAAACCCAATAATACTTTGCCCTACCCGGGAATTGAACCCAAGACCCCTTGCACTTGCGACCAGTCGGCCAACGAAGTAGGCTCATATTCATGAGCAGCATTCCGCGACCTGTGACGCGGTTACTGTCACACTGGTACTGGCTGCCTGAGTCAGCTGCAGTGCTTGACCAGCAGTAGCACTTACGACCACTCGGCCAACGAGGCAGTTTCTTTGAAGTAATGTAATAAAAATGCTAGTCAGTCTGGTGGCAGGCATCCAGTTTCAACCAAATGAGACGATTCGCTTGACCACCTCGACGTAGACTCGTGTGTGTGAGCAGTGGGGATCTATGTGGTGAGGGTTCTGTATAGATGATGACGGGGTATGAACATTGAAAATCTAATTAGTCCGTAAGTTAGGTAATGGAAAAATTAGACACGTATTTTTTGATTTTGTTGTATAATAAAACAATACTTAGATAAAACGAATCAAAGTTTAGGAGTGGGGGGTAAAACGTCATTTCTGCGTAAAAAATGTACATAGAAGTGACGTCACGCGACATTTCAAGTGTTTCAAATCAATATATCGTCGAAAGTATTCGTATCTGTAAGAAAATACGTGTGTATTGTTTTAAAATAATCTATCAGACGCACATTAACTCGTCGAGTACCGGTTTTGTAGACACAATTATAGAGGTAGAACAATATGTTGCGGTCACCGGTGACCGCTTGGTGTTTGACAGTATAAAATAAAAATTAGGCATCTACCCTATTATAATCTTACTAATATTATAAATGTGAAGCAAGTTTGTGTGTTGGACCGTGCTTCGGCGCCCATGGGCCGGCTCAACCAGAGTCATACCACGGCCTCATAGAAAACCGACGTAAACCAATGTTTGCGTTGTTTTTCATTGTGTGAGTGAGGTTACCGGAGGCCTGATTACCTTCCCCCCCTACCTAATCTCCTCAATCCCTGAATCCCCAAAAATCCTCAAATTCTTAAGTTTCGGGTGTCCATGGGCCACGCCGATTGCTTACCAGATAATGATCGGCCTGCTCTTTTACCGACTTTGCCGATAAAAAAAACAACAATGTTTTTTGTTTACTTTTTTCATGTTTTTTTGGTTCACACAAAGCCTAGGTTTTATAAAAATACAGAGATCTAACTGCTCATACAATCATGGTTTTCCAAGATAACCAATTTTCAAATGGTTTTATCACAACACTGACAGTACTCTAAAACAAATGGACCAATGACGCGTACGTTCCAATTTGGAACGCGACCAGTGGAGCGGCGCGCGCACATCTATACGTACTTGTAATTATGTAGCTACCTAGGTACTGATTGACTCAGTCATTAGACAGTGCATTGTTATATACATGGATATAATAAAATAAGGTTTTAAGTCAAATGGTGGTACTTGAATACATTTTTTTTCCTTGCCCTACACTAGGATTTTCTCCTGCGTCGTGTGTGCGTTTACAAACATACAAGTTCACATACACATGACACCCAGACCCGGGACCACAATTTGTGGATCACACAAAGTGTTGCTCCGTGGGGGGATCGAACCTGCGACACGTTGCACGGTAGCCAGTTGTCTAGTCACCAGCCTAACCGTTCAGTCATTAGTCTAACCTTAATCATATGGATAAAAAAATAATATAGTATAGGGATATTAATATAGTATAGGGAAATTAATATAGTATAGGGATTGATGCTGATTTTAATATTTTTATTATACGACGACCTATTCGCCTGCAGTTTTTTTTTGAGGGCAAAGTCATAGTCAAAGTCAAAGTCAAAATCATCAGGACGGCACTTTTGAACGTCAACAACAAAAATTTTGAAGTGAAGCTAGTTGCTCATTCCAAGGTGTAGATTCCTATGTAGAAGAACGAGCAAGAAACTCCATAGGTTACTCTTTTTCAATCAGGTTCACAATACAATTCTCTAGTCACATAGTTTTCTTGGTTCGATAGTGTGAGAACAATGCAACACCTAAATCCAGTCAAAGAGTCAATGACATCTCCCGCTCTGAGTGAGGCGAGAATGAGTGTCAGACTCTTACGGACTAAACACCACCCCGTTTCTGCCTGAACCACGATAATTCGCTAGGTCGTCCTTTCCTTCTTCTCAAGAAGGTTCTGATCTGTAGGAATCTGAATCTAATCATCATCATTAACCGGATGGTCATTCCTTCAATAAAGACCTCCCTTCTATAGGAATATCCCGATTAAAATTACCCTTTGCTATCTTCTCCATGACAAGTTAGTTTCCCAGTGGTAGAAGTATTTCAAAGGTTTTTTAGTTTTGAAAACAATGAAATCTTTACTTTGGCCGACTCAAGAGTCGAACAAACATTTTAATATCATCACGCTTTTTATCTTCGAAAAGGTACACTTTACGACACTTAATGCCGCTGTACAATGTAACACCCACTTTTCACTATTTATAATATGAGTCGCATGTAATAGGTGGTAAGCCTATTGTCAGATACCGGGCACAATTCCAGACGCCTTGCTACTAGTGAGAAATTAAAAAAGTCAGTAATACTTTGCCCGACTCGGGGATCAAACCCGGGGCCCCTTGCCCGGCAGTCGCACTTGCGATCACTCGACCAACGAGACAGTCATTGCCTCAGGCAGACAAATATTGTAATGAATATTATCTGGTATTTCCCCAACACTTTGTCTTTTGTTTAATACAATGCATTTAGCATCGTCGTGTCATTGTCGTTAGTCACTCGTCAAGGCCGCAGGGTCAAATCCGATCCTTTGTGTTTTTTTTTAACTACTACAGTAGTAACAAAACTTACGGTTTTATTTTCTGATAACGGGAGATACCTTTAGAAAGTACATATAGTTAACTGGGAAAAAGTCACATTGGTACGTGCCAGGTAACGAGCCGGCCCTCATGCATGAGAAGCGGGCGTCTTAACCCTCTGCAACTGACGTGGTTAAATTGTTACAATTCAACTGAGGTGGTAGTATACCAGACACCATTTCAACAGCAAATATTTTTTTAGAATTAAAATATGCAGCTAATTTATTCATGTTTGTTAGATTTCTTGCCTTTTTATATTTTATATTTAATTGAAATAAAAAAAAAAACAATATCTATTTTCAAAATTAAACAAGGTTTATTTACTTAACACAAATCAGTCTATAAATTTCTTCTTAAACATTTATGACATAAAAAAATAACAAAATCAAATTTTTCAAATTTCACATTATACATTTTAAAAGTTCACAATAACATTAATCAGTCTAGGAAAATTGAGATACATTCGTTGGTCAACTTAAAAACTAGAGAGTTTCAAAATCACAACTTTGTTTGGCAATTATCACACAGTGGCTTAGAGCACTGAAGGCAAATTGGCTTCGAACAATCACAGCAACGGTATTTAGTTTGTCTTTTTATTTTAGTTGGACAAATATAACATAATTTTTTGCCACTCGGTGGAACAGATCGAGCTACTGGAGGTGAAGGGGGTGTATCCTTGCCTAAAACTCGAGTCAGAGTCATTCGCAGCTCCCTTGGCAATCTTTCATTGTATACTCGGTTTTTCATATGATCCAGCACTAAGTCTCTGGCCATATTCAACAAAAAAGTTCCTCTCCTCATTTTGCCATCACTATCATCACAACTTTGATACAATACAAAGCTATTTATGCCTGCCATGTCCAGAATCCTTTGAAAGATTGCCATAGGCCAACGACGAGTTTTACGACTGCAGCAATATATCGAACACTTTTTATCCACCTCGTCCACCCCACCTTTTGTACTATTGTAGTCTGCAATCATAATTGGTTTTCCTGTATCTTTATCTATTTCTTGAATATGGTGAGAAGAAGAAATCAACAATACGGCTTTATTAGGTTTCGGCACATATGATAAAAGTGTATAATCCTTAGTAAAACCATATAACGAACTTTCTGCCAGTCTATTTTTGTTCGGCAAGAAACATGGCGGTATTTCAGCTTTATTTTTTTTCAGAGTACCCAGGTAAGTCAGTCCTCTTTTCAGCAATATTTCGACTAGTGGTATCGAGCTGAACCAATTGTCGGCAGTAATATTTCGGTTCGAATTTTCAACCACTTTTGCAAGTCTTAAAACCGACTGAGTGGGTACTGCCATTTTTTTTTCTTGATCGGTTAAACCTTTACCATCGGAATACTTCCCATGGTATATATAAGCATTGTAAATGTAATATGTACGAGCATCCACCAACAATAATATTTTGATACCATACTTTGCTGGTTTTTGAGGCATATAAATTATGAATTTGCAACGACCTCTAAATGGCACTAACATTTCATCGATGCAGAGGTATGCTCCAGGGGTGTATTCAGATTGACTGTTGGATATAAACTTATCAAATATTTCGGATATTGGAGCCAGTGTATCATCTTTTAAACGTTCCTGTCTGGTAATTGAGTCATCAAATCTAAGGCAGTTGATCAAACACGAAAAACGCAATTTGGACATCACGCATCGGAATATTTCCCGACCTGTGCCGTTGGTGGCAAATATTGTGTTGATATTTTCATCGTTACATTTGAATACTGATGAATAGTACATCAAACCAATAAACGCTCTCATCTCGTTTACATTTGTGTCCACAAGTTCGGCCATACTATTATTTTTGAACTTGGTACGGTACGAACTGAGTTTCTGGTTAGTATATCGCACCAGAGATTCTAACATTGTGGGATCAATCAGCTTACTCCAAAGTTCCAAGTAACCTTCAAATTTTTTTGTTATAATACGTCCTGGTAATCGAATTATATTATGAGCTGATACGCGTGATGTCCTACGACCCTCTTGTGCACTCCAAATAAAACCGTTTTTACCTGTGTAGTGTTCTTGTGACTTGTCTGATGATTGTTGACGTTCAACCTCCACAACAGGTTCTTGTTGCTCTTCCAAGATTGACTCTGAATCTTCTTCACGTGAAATTATGTCATCTTCATCACGTTGGATTTCAGGCTCGAAACTTGGATCTCCATCTTCATCATCAATACCACTAAAGCCATCGTCACTTTCCTCTTCCAGCCAGTTTAATATTTTCTCTTCATGGCTTACAAAAGTTCCAGCCGGTGTTCTCTTACGAGCAGAAGTTCTTGGTTTAGGGGTGTCACTTGAGATATCCATCTAAAAACAAGTTAAATACTGTTAGTTTTCTAGCACGACTTAAGCACACGCGGGTGCTGTATAGATATTGTTTCCTGTAACCTGTGTTACTCAGAGATAACATTATTATGTATTGTTATGTTGTTTGTATGTTAAATAAACGGCTTTGTATTCAAGTTAATTGATTACAAACAAAAGTAGAAATCTGTCCTAATTGTAAGTAGTATAAGTAGTAATAAAATAGTAGTATAAATAGTTTATGAAAATTGGAAAATAACATAAAATAATAAATCATTGAAACTCAATGACTGACGTGGTTGTTTAGGAGACACTATGAAGATATAACCATTTCACTGAAGTGGTAATCTCGTGGACACTTACCTTAACGCTGACGTGGTAGTCTCGTGGACACCTTCCCTCCGCTACGCACACGTGCGCTCGCTGCGACCCCCCGCCGCACACTGACCGACGCGCGAGCACTATACAGTAAGGTACTCGCAGCAGTGACGCTCATATTTGAAAAATGACGGTATAACACGTGATTTTGTATTTCGCGGTGTCTGTGGGACTACACGTCAGCTGCAGACGGTTAAACCCCTGCGCCACCACGACTCTATGTTTTCACAATCCAGAATTTATTTTTGTTTTGCAGATGATAATGATAGATGCGATCACTGTTTTTTAATGCCGTTGTGATTTCTTTATACTGGTAAAATAGCTGTTGATATTAATTTCATGTTTAATAACCTAAGTTCGAATCGACAATCAGTTATTGTTTATTAACATCAACTCCAGGCAGTGACCGTATTTCTTTGAAGTTGGAAACATTATCGTATTACGTCAACCGGATTGTTTTTTAAATAAGAATTATATATGTTTAGGTTTTCAGTGCATTCTCTGTTCTTAGGGAAACGAGCGGACAGATCACCTAATGGTAAGCAATCGGCGTCGCCCATGGACACACGGAACACTAGAGGGGTTATCAGTGCGTTGTTAGTCTTGGCTTGTGGATTGGGTATTCGAGGATTAGGGGATTAATGGCGAGTCATAGGGCCTCCGATAAGGTGTTTCGTCGTGTGAGTTAGGTTACTGGAAGCCCAATTACCCCTCCCCGATCTGTGAAATCCCAGAATCCCCAACAATCCTCAAATTCTTAATTCAGAAAAGCACTTGTAACACCTCTGGTGTTCCAGGTGTCCATGTGCGACACCGATTGCTTACCATCAGGTTATCCGTCTGCTCGTTTACCGGGTTATACCATAAAAAAAAGCCGTTGCCCTGATATCACTCCGGTCGAGCCGACCCAGCCGTGCGGAAGTATGGCTCTCCCACGCTTATTTAAAGTCAAAGCATCTATGTCAATTAGTCCTTAAACAAAACGCGAAAGAATGGTCCGTCAATGAAGCTAGGTGCTCGTTCTAAACCTGTAGATTTGTTATGTCATAACTTCTTAACCGACTTGCATAAAGTGGACCATGCTTGTGACACCCAAAGGCTGTAACTTCAAGGTCATATCAAACTACACCGACTGTATACGTCACTTATTTCATCATTAGGAAGTTCTATTCCTCAAATACCGGACAAGAACCAATTAATTCTTAATTATTGGCACCGTTTAGCAATATGTTGCGTTATTCCTGAACGCAAAAGGTTGGATTTCGTAAATACTAGTTTTACGGAACATATCATTATCAATGGTGGAGTCCAGGCGACCCGTACTTAGGTATCGTCATGAGCTAATGTTCACATGTAAACAGCAGCTCATGTAGTGTAGATGTCCAGTCAACAAGGATGTAGCGAGGTTGACTGTCCAGGCGACACACGTACTTAGGTATCGTCATGAGCTAATGTTCGCATGTAAACAGCAGCTCATGTAGTGTAGATGTCCAGTCAACAAGGATGTAGCGAGGTTGACTGTCCAGGCGACACACGTACTTAGGTATCGTCATGAGCTAATGTTCGCATGTAAACAGCAGCTCATGTAGTGTAGATGTCCAGTCAACAAGGATGTAGCGAGGTTGACTGTCCAGGCGACACACGTACTTAGGTATCGTCATGAGCTAATGTTCACATGTAAACAGCAGCTCATGTAGTGTAGATGTCCAGTCAACAAGGATGTAGCGAGGTTGACTGTCCAGGCGACACACGTACTTAGGTATCGTCATGAGCTAATGTTCACATGTAAACAGCAGCTCATGTAGTGTAGATGTCCAGTCAACAAGGATGTAGCGAGGTTGACTGTCCAGGCGACACACGTACTTAGTTATCGTCATGAGCTAATGTTCGCATGTAAACAGCAGCTCATGTAGTGTAGATGTCCAGTCAACAAGGATGTAGCGAGGTTGACTGTCCAGTCGGTATTGGAAACTTATTAAATCAATTTCTTAAGAAAGCAGGTCAGATGCCGGTTTCATATAATCAAAATTCTAATATAAATGAAGAAATCTATACAAGAATGAATAAAGTAATTCTATAACTAAGAACAAAACGATTACATCTTTGCTTAGCCCCAAAAAACTAAAAAGCGTAAAGATAATGGTCTCATAACTACACCTTAACATATAAAACCCTTGATGACTCAGTAATAAAGGCGACATTTGCGCGGCACGGCATCAAACCGGTACCAACTTTCACATAGCTTGATTATGTCGACGTATGACATAATACTCGAGTCATACACATACAATTTACGCCGGTTTGTATGTATGTATTAAAACTGGGACACTATATTGAATTTGACTTAGTTTAAACTGTCAAACACCAAGCGGTCACCGGTGATCGCAACCTATTGTTCTATAATTGTGTCTACAAAACCGGTACTCGACGAGTTAAAAGCTAATTTTCTAATAGATGTATGAAATTAATGACAGTAGAGTATGGTACATTTATCTGATTTATCACCAACCTTACTCCTCCCGCGGGTTTCATATACCCGACTAAGGGACTACACATTTGACAGAGACCGGGCAGCAGCGCTCTCTGATAGATCTGAACCTTTTATACTGTGATCTCCAACCCGCCTGCCTGCGGAGATTATGACAAACCCCTCTTATGTAGAGTAGGCTTATCGTCCAGCAGTGGACTGTGGAAGTCGTAATATATACCTATGACTTTAGTCTATCCTTAAATGGGAAATTTCATCGAAATCTTCTCAGTAGTTTTACGACAGTGACCAACAGATGTGCTTGAAAGTGAAGGTTATCATTGAGATTTCATCCTTATTATCATCAACAGCCTATAAATAAGTGGCCACTGCTGACAGGCCTCTTCTCACACGGAGAAGGTTTGAGCATTAATCACCACGTTTGCTCAATGCGGGTTGGCGATTACAAACTTATAATTAGAAACGATAAGTCCAGGTTACCTGAAGATGTCTAATGAAAGTAATTTAATTATTAATCATAAAGTAATTGTTATGAATCAAATTATGTTATTTCGCAATCAATATAGAAGAATAGGAAGTTAATAACACGATTATAGCCTTAGTGTATTTAAATGACTGCCTCGTTGGCCGAGTGGTCGCAAGTGCGACTGCTGGGCAAGGGGTCTCGGGTTTTCTGTGAGGACCGGTACTGCTGTACGGACGAACCTACCACGGCTTCATAGTACGCCGGCATGAGTAAGGATACCCTCGCCCAAAAAGGCCGGTAACGCACTAGTAACGCCTCTGGTGTTGCGGGTGTCCATGGGCAGCTCTGATTGCTTATCATCAGGTGATCTGTCTACTCGTTTGCTGCCCTATACAATGATATCTTACGGAGCTGCGCAGAACTTAACGGTTTACCGGGGCTCTGGCTCGAAGTTCAAGAGTAGGAACGGGGTGATTTTTAGTCAGCTCAGACTCTTGTCTGACACTCCCTCCCGCCTTACCCGGGCGGGAAAAGTCATTCGATGATTTTCCCCCTTAAAAAAGTACAATAATATCTCTGCTGGCTTCCTAACAATAAAATGGTGTAATGTATGAGTCAGTGTGAATAGAAAGTTCTCGAACATCGATTTTAGAATATGAATGAATGCCGTAGAAAGTGCCACTTATACACATACGGTATGTGAAATGTACACAACTGGGATTCGAATTGTGGACTTTCCACCAAATGTCTAGTTTTATATTGTATGGAGGTATCTATCCGGATAAGGTAAAACGTTTGTGGTTTTGTGTGTATGTGTGTGTGTGTGTATAAATCTCGGAAACGGCTGCATCAATATTGAGTAGGTTCCATTTTTGTATATTGAAATATTTGAACTATTTGCCTGCCTCGTTGGCCGAGTGGTCGCAACTGCGACTGCCGGCCAAGGGTCTCGGGTTCGATTTCCGGGTCGAGCAAAGTATTACTGGGTTTTAAAAAAAATCTCACTAGTAGCACAGAGTCTGGAATTGCGCTCGGTATATGGCAATAGACTCACCCCCTGCTAAATGGGGCTCATAACATAAATAGTGAAAAGTGAGCGTGAATTTTACACTTGTGCCGTAACGTGCACCTCTGCTTACCCCTTCTGGGATATAACGAAGTATTTTATTAATTGGTATGTACCTTTAAAATGAAAGCATTTTGTTACAAAAGGAATATTTTTTTTAAAGTTATCGAGGGATCGTTAAAATAAGAACTAAGATGAAGGTTGCCACATTGTTTTGATTCAGAATTCTATATAAATGTTTCCATTTTAAATATTTATATTATACTGATGTTATCTCAAGGTAGGTAGGAAATTTAATATTGATTAGTTTAAACATAATGTCTGCGGTACAGTAGAACGCATTTGCACTGCTCCTACTCTTTCCGCTGGTGTCGCATACCCGGCTAAATTCCAGAGGAGATGGCATCCCAGTCCCCCCTCGCTCCGCATCATGACCCGCACTAGGGCCGGACGCGAGGGGTCGCCGTCGCCCCCAACCTGCATGCTCTCTTAATATGTAGAGGAGGCTCACAGTCCAACAGTGGACTGTCATTATCTATTGATGAAGATGAACTATCATATAGATGGTCGACAGGCTATCTGTGCGCTTCTCTCGCAGCTTCCTGCCTCGCACAGCAAAACTGTGGAATGATCTGTCGTCGGCGGTATTTCCGAACCGATACGACCTTCAAACATTGAAGGAAAGAGCGTATTCCTTTTTAAAATGCACTTGTGACTCTTCTGGTGTCCATGGGCGGCGCTGATCGCTTACCATCAGGTGATCCGTCTGCTCGTTTCCCTCCTATTCAACAAAAAAATGAACCAATCTACCTAATAGTCTTATATCACGTTTTAAAATTGAAAATAAATACTTGTTTAGACGTCACAGATACAACTCCTCGTCTAATTACAATCACGATTAATGTTTTTTCTTAAAAATCAGGTTTTTGACTAAAACTGGTTGTCGTAACCAAGGTGACACCTACAATGCCATGTCATACATACATAGATATAAGTAAAGAGCATTCCTATTCCTTTTTAAAAGGCCGTAAACCAGCATTGTATTTGTTACGCCTGTAGTGTTCCGGGTGTCCATGGGCGGCGCTGATTGCTTACCATCAGGTGAT